TTAATTTTGACCACTCACCAAAGCCTGATTCAGAGACTGACAGATGAATCTGATACTATACAGAAGGTCTTGTGTATGGGTAATTAAGTCGACATTCACATCTCTCAAAATAATTCACACTCAGTCTGCAGTATAGGAATGTCACTATCTTACATAAGCTATGAACTATGTGTGGAATTAAGATGCTTTGTTTGTTTTCCCTGAGGTTCTTACAGTTTGGATTAGAAGAGCTAAAGGAGCAAAGTTTGGAGAAAGAAAGATCCTGACTTAAAGGTATATTCCTTGTGGGACTTTGGGCAAGTTACTTAGCAACTCTAGCTAATACTTCACAACATTGCTGTAAGGATTAAATGAGATAATTTTTGTAAAGCACTGGCACATAAGTGCTCAATAAAAGGCAGCCATTACAGTGCTACTGCTGCTGCTGCTGGCTGCTTTCTTCTTCTTCTTCTGAGGCTAGCGTCCCGGAAGGACGGTAAGACCTACAATCCGAAGTACCTTAATTCATCTTCCTCCCTTAACTTCCATTCCTTCCCTTCCATTCCCTTCCCTCCCTCCCCACCTCCCTCCCCTCCCCCTCCCTCCCCTCCCTCCCTCCCCTCCCTCCCCTCCCCTCCCCTCCCCTTCTTCTTCTTCTTCTTCTTCTTCTTCTTCTTCTTCTTCTTCTTCTTCTTCTTCTTCTTACTTGAGGACCGGTGCACAAAATTTGTGCATGGGGGAGAGGTGTCCCTCAGCCCAGCCTGCACCCTCTCCAATCTGGGACATCCCTTTCACAATTCAGGATTGCTGGCTCCCAACTGCTCGCCTGCCTGCCTTCCTGATTCCCCCTAACCACTTCTGCCTGCCAGCCTGATCACCCCCTAGCTCCTCTGCCAGCCTAATTGATGCCTGTCCCCTGCCAGCCTGTTTGCCCCTACCTGCCCTTCCCTGCAGGCCTGGTCCTCCCTAACTGCCCTTCCCTGCAGGCCCGGTTGCCCCCAACTTCCCTCCTCTGCCGGCCTGGTCACCCCTAACTGCCTTCCCCTGCAAGCTTGATTGACCCCAACTGCCCTCCCCTGCTGGCCATCTTGTAGTGACCATCTTGTGTCCATATGCGGATAGGATCTTTCATCACATGGGGGAAGCCATCTTGTATGTTGGAGTGATGGTCAATCTGCATATTACTCTTTTATTAGATAGGATAGAGGCCTGGTGCATGGGTGGGGGCCAGCTGGTTTGCCCTGAAGGGTGTCCCAGATCATGGTGGGGGTTCCTTTGGGGCATGGGGCGGCCTGGGCAATGGGCTTGTGATGGTTTGCAGGCCGGCCACGCTGCCTCCCCCCAGCGACCCAAGCAGAGGCCTTGGTATTTGGAATTTATTTATCTTCTACAATTGAAATTTTGTAGCCTGAAGCGAAGCTAAGCCTCCTGCTTGCTTCATAGCAGTAGCCATTTCTGTTGGGATTTATGTATCTTCTATAATTGAAACTTCGTAGCCTTAAGCGGAGGCCTGGGCCAGCCAGGGTGTGTGGAAAGCTTGGCTTCCTCTATCACCAGGGAAACCCAAGCCTCCCCCCTGTTCTCTCAGTGGCCACAGCCATCTTGGTTGGGGTTAATTTGCATACTTGCTCCTGACTAGCTTGTGGGTGTAGCAGAGTTATGGTTAATTTGCATATTACTCTTTTATTAGATAGGATTACATTATTATATAGTTCCAAGAACAGTCTAGACATTTTCCCAAACAGATTATGCACATATAGGGGAAGAAAAAATTTTATTGAGTTTAAATAATTATTATTAAATGAATTATAGTATGAGTATAAGTATTTCTGCTGGTAAATTATCTTTTCAGTCATAATATAACCTAACCTATTATCTATAATCAGGCAGAAACAGAACCTGTTTTAGTTTTCCTTCTTAATTTATCACATTTTTAATTGCTCTACTGTATTCTGAGAATCAAGCTACAAGTGTTAACATCACTGCAAAATCTCACTTTACACTGTATGTTTTTAAAATAATTATATTTTACTGCCTAGTGTTCTCAACATACATGAAAAACTGGGAGGTTTAATCTACTAGAAACTTATTGTTGTCCAAACTGAAAAGTAAGTAACATGCATTATTAATAATTGATAATAAATTATAACTAATCTATAATTCAAAGCATAGTTACAATGAAAGTGATATTCTTTATTTTAATATTTTTCCAGTTATTAATTGCAAATATCAGAAAGCCCTAACTGGTTTGGCTCAGTGGATAGAGCTTTCGCCTGCAGACTGAAGGACCCCAGGTTCGATTCCAGTCAAGGGCATGTACCTTGGTTGTGGGCACTTCCCCAGTAGGGGGTATGCAGGAGGCAGCTGATCAATATTTCTAACTCTCTATCCATCTCCCTTCCTCTCTGAAAAAAATCAATAAAATATATTAAAATAAAATATCAGAGAATCTATAATAATAAAAGTATAATATGCTCATTAGACTTTGGGACATCCTTCTGGAGGAAGCCATGGTGGGTGGGAGCTGAGGCAGAGGGCCCTGACCATGGTGGCAGTGGGTGCTGAGCCCCGTGCACGAATTTCATGCATTGGGCCTCAGGTAATAATATACTGAAGCTAGAAAGGCCCTTAAAATAATCTGTTTCAATCCCTTAATTTGACTAGCGCAAAACTAAGGCCTGGAGAGGTCCAGGGACTTGACCAAATATATATCAATAGTACCAAGTGTAATGTTTAAAATGTTTTGTTTTCAGAATTGCAGCAGCTACAATTAGCATAGCCTGATCATTGCTAGGACTTAGTGTGAATAAACCTATGACTCTTGGCCATTCCACGATGTCCTCTCCTGAACAACCACTCAGCTCTGGCATCTTTTATGGAGTCAACCCATCTCATATTTGTTCTTCTTCTTTTCCTGCTGCCTTCTATATTTTCCCAGCATTATTGTCTTTTCTGAAGAACCCTGCCTTTCGTTATGTGCCTGAAGTAGGACATCTTCAGTTTTGTTATTTTTTTTGCCTCCAATAATGTTTCAGATTTCATTTGCTTTAGGATCCACATGAGATTAATATTTAACATAAGGAGAAAAACCAACTTTAAACACAATCATTTTAATATAGATTACAGTAATGTTTTGTTTCCCTTCACTGAAATAGCAACTAAAAAATAAGTCTCCTAAAGTATATCTAAAAAGTAAGTCTTCTACAAGTACCATGTGACTTCACTTATATGTGAAATCTAATGAACAAAACAAACTAACAAAATAGAAACAGACTCATCGATACAGAGAGCAGACTGACAGCTGTCAGAGGGAAGGGGGATTAGAGGACTGGGTATAAAAGGTAAAGGGATTAAGCAAACAAACAATCACACCCCCCCCCAAAAAAAATTAAAAAATAACAAAATAACAACACCCTTATAGACACAGACAACAGTATGGTGATTACCAGAGGAAAGGGAGTGGGAGAGGTAGAAAGGAGTAAAGGGGGGATAAATGGTGACATAAGGAGACTTGACAGATGATGTATTATAGAGCAACTGAAACCTATATAATTTTATTAACCAATGTCACCCCAATAAATTCAATGATTTTTTTAAAAAAGTTCTAAATAAGACTTCTAAAGTATATATTGAGCTTTTGAAAGTGAGCTTCATAAAGTAGAAAAAGTAAAGAATTTCCAGGTTGAAACCCAGCTTGGCCCTGCACAAGTTACCTGCTCAACTTCTTTCTTATCTCAGAAATGGGGCTGTAACTACTAACTAGGTCTGTGTAGTAAGATTTCCATTATAACAATTGTGAAGGAGCCTGGCACATGGGAGGAGCGCCAAGTCTGTACAAAAGCTAACTATCTATTTAAATGATTCTGGAACTAAGGAAAAAACCCACTGAACTTTGGGGTAAATAATTCTAACTCTTTGGCATAAACTATACCAAAAAATGCTGTATTTTGTCAGCATTCTCCAACATTTGCAGGGACATTAAAATTATAGTTACCATCTACGGAGCCCTTACATGACCAACCACAGTCCTAACCTCTTCTCATTAATTATTTAATCCCCACGAACCTGTGGCTAGTCCATCAAGCCACGCACAGCTGTGGAAACACAGCCTTAGGAGGAAGTTAAGAAACTGCCCGTCCCTGTCCTCAGGCGATGAACCTAGTTCAGGCTGCCTCCGTCTTCCCCACTTCTCCGCAAGGCCTCAATACACAGCATTTAAACTGAAAGCCCAAATTCATCTCCTTAGTGCTGCAAGAACAAAACCAAAAGCAGTACTACTAAAAGGTGTGTATTCTCCAAGAACTGCATTAGGCATTTCAGATCTGAGCGAGCTGAAAGTCTGAACTGGGGAAAAACAAGAGAAATTCTGACCAATGACTCCATTACGCGCTCAGGGATAATCAGGGATAGTGTAAAGATCCCCCACGTCCTTGATTTATAAATATTCTACACCAAAAAAGGCCGTACCAGGCTTCTGCTGGCAATGCAAAAAAACCAAACAGTAGGACCTCATCTGAAATATACTCTGTGCTTGACTTTCCTGGGTGCGTTTCACCTCCCTTGGTCTTGCTTCTCCCACATTTTTTTTTTTTTTTTTTTTTTACAGGGGTCGAAATGAGCATTACAGAATGGTGAACAGTCAGAGAGAAAGAGGGACGATGGCAGAGGAGCCCCCAAATCACAGAACCTGAAGGAAAGCGAGGAAGAAACTCGAGAGCCCCGAGCTCGTTCTTCAGGCGCAAAGGGACAAAAGGGAACCTCCGCCAGCCAGGTTGACGAGAAGTCTCGGGCGCACCCCTGGGGTGCACGGCACCTCGAGGCTGGCGAGCGGACCAGAAACCCCGCCGGCCTCACGATCGTGGCAGTCTCGCATGGGGGGCCTCCGCGAGCGGAGCGGCGAAGGCATCTCAAAGGCCGGCGCGGAAGGATCCGACGCGCGCGGCATCGCTGGTTGCTAGGATACACTGCTCACCCTCTCCTCCAATCAGCACGTACCTCTTTGCGTCCAATCAGAGGAGCGACAGAGCAGCAGGCGGAGGTGAAAGGTCACGCTGCTTTTGGGCGGCCATTTCTCGTGGTCGGAGCTCGGGTAGGCGCGTTCCAGGCACAAGGGACGGAGTAGAGCCGGGTCGGCGGCGAGTAGCCTGCAGCATTTGCTCGTGGTCGCGATGGTAAGGAGGGAGAGGAAGGATGGAGTCTCCGGAGAGAGACGGAGGGAGCGCGCGGGTGCCCGGCGCCGCCGGGCCGGGTGGTTGGTTCGCGCCTTTTCCCATTCATCCGCGCGAGGCGCCGCGCAGGCGGCCGGCAGCCCTTTCTTGGTGCCGCGGAGCCCGAGGCGCGCGCCCCTTCCGCCGCCCTGGAGTGCCCCCTGCGCCCTTCCTCCCGGCTTCGTTCTGAATCTGAGCCTGAGGCATCCTTGCTGGCCTGGGCCGCACGGTCCAGGTGAGGACGAAAAGGGTTCTCACGGCCCACTTTGAAACGAAAGCCCGCTCCCATGCCATGGTGGGAGACGCAGCGCCGCCGCGCTCTGAACACGAGCCCAGGCTTTGGAGCATTCGTGTGTTGGTTGAACAAATATTTTACCGAGTGCATGCTACCTGCCAGAAGCTGTGCTAGGCGGTAGGACTATAAGGTGAAAAGTACTTACTGATGCCGAATTCTGTCTGGGTTAATTTCTCTCGGGATTGGGAGACAGACATGAATCTAATAACAACAGAAATATATAATTACGAATCATCAGTGCTGAGGAGGAAGCAAACGGGTTGCCGGAGGGGGACGCGATGGTAGGTACCTAAGAAGAGTGGCCAGGGGTAGCATCCCTGGAAGGGGAGGGATTTTAACCTGAAACCTGAATGATAGGAAACTCAGCCCCTAAAAGAGCTGGAGGGAGAGGGTTCCAAGCTCAGGAAACATGAGCATTGTTGGGCCCTAAGGCACCGACCCCTTGGAGGAATGAACAGAAACCACAGTTTCTTGCATGAATAGTGGTTATGCGTTTTAGCCTCAGGCCACATTAGGAGGTCTGGATTCTACTCCCAGCTGCCGTGGGCAGCCATGAAGGCGTTTTAAGCAGAAATATGATATGATAAAAAAAAAAACAAACAAACAGTTTTTGCTGTGTGGACAATAAGTTGGAGGAAGACAAGAGTGAAAACCGGAGACTCATTGGGAAGTTATTGCAGCAGTCCCCTTGTCCTAAGATAACTCTGAATATTCTTTTTTAAAAGGGTAGTTTAGTCGCTAAGCTTCTTGCTTCTTTGGGCTGATGGGTGAGCAGATGAAGGGAAAAAGTGTGATTACTGGGGATACTACTGCTTTGCTGAATAAACGTTAGGAGGCACTGAAGTCAAGTAAGACCCAGTCCTCGTTTCTAGAATTCAAGCAAAAGACTGTCAGGTGCCTCTGCTTCGCCCTGGAGTCGCATACTGGGAGTCTGACAGGACTGAATTGTTTGTTGCTTCATTCTTCCCTCCTGTTCAATAGTTGGTCTCCTCTGCCTACAACAGCTGTTTTCCCCCTGGGAATTTATCTCATCCTTTAAAATGGAAGCATTGCTTATTTCAGGCAACCTTCCCCTCTCTCTTAACATCGGATCAGGTTGGTACCCTTGTCCATAGCATATCTCCTCTTACAATCTTGCAGTAGTTTATTTGTATGTATTTTGCCCTTCCTCCCACCATGAGGACAGGGACTGTCACCTGCATTTTTTTTTTTTAACTGTCCTTGTTTCTTTGTAACCTGGAACAGTAAGTGATGTTTAATAGCTATTCAGGGTTTCCTAAGGAAATAATGAATATTTGTATTTGGCTACCTGGGTATTTAAATATTTTTGGTGGTTGTGAACAAATAAAAGTGATACCATAAACATGGTTGATTTGGTAACAGAGTAGGTGGTGGGCACGGAGCTCTGGAAAATAATTGAGTTCTTTTTTTGTTCTTTGTGCAGAGTTTGCCCCTCAATCCCAAACCTTTCCTCAATGGATTAACAGGAAAACCAGTAATGGTGAAACTTAAGTGGGGAATGGAGTACAAAGGCTACCTGGTATCTGTAGATGGCTATATGAACATGCAGGTAAGCTAAAGAATTATAAAAATCATTAAATAGCATCTCTTTTTCTTCACCTTACTCCTCTAAGGTTTAGTGTGATTTATGAGAATGCAGTTAATTAAATTGGTAACGCAAAAATTTGGAGGGAAAAGTCAAGATCAGGGAGGATATGATAAGCTGAATGAGACATGTTAAACCAAAATACAGCCACAGATTTGACCCTTAGTTGTTAAAAGTAAGAAGAGCTTGAACATTTGATTCCTTTTGCCAGAAGGGGAAAATACAAATTTGCAGAAAAAGAAAACCTCTCAGTACTTAACTCTGCAAAAAGTTTTCCAAGTGAAATTCTTACGTTTTAAAAACATATTTTTTTATTTCAGAGAGGAAGGGAAGAGGAGGAGAGAGATGGAAACATCAATGATGAGAGAATCGTTGATTGGCTGCCTCTTGCATGCCCCTTCTGGGGATCGAGCACACAACCCTGGCATGTGCCCTTGACTAATCGAACCTGGGACCCTTCAGTCCACAGGCTGATGCTCTATCCACTGGACAAACCAGTTAGGGCAAATTCTGAATGCTGAAAGCACAATATCAGAGTAATTCCCTAAAAGAATTTCTTGAAGGAAATGACATTAGCCAAATGAATTGATCAATTGACTGCATGTCTGTTACACTAGTTTCTGTGAACTTTTTAAAAATTGTGATAACAAAATGTGCCACTTTCACCATTTGCAAGTGTATAACTCAATCCCAAAGTGAAATTCCAGGCCCATCAAAAAATACAATAATTCCCCATTTCTGTTGTCTCTAGCCCCTTGGTAAATACTGTTCTTTTTGTCTCTCTATTAAAGATACCTCATATAAATGGAATCCTACAATATTTGTCCTTTTGACTTATAGCATATTTTTAAAGCTCATTCATGGTGTAGCATTTTTCAGAATTTCTTTTTATGGAAGTAATATTTTATTATATGTATACTCTGCATTTTAATCCATTCTTCTATTGGTCATTTGGATTACTTCCCCATTTTGACTAGTGTGACTATTGCAGTGAACACGGCTATGCAAATATCTGCTTCAGTTTCTATTTTTAGTTATATACAGTATATCAGAAATGTAATTGCTGAATCATACAGTAATTCTTTGTTTAATTTCTTGAGGAACAGCCATATTATTTTCTACCTGAACAAAAAATGCTCATGTCCCCATAATTTATATAGAGCATTGTTTGGCCTGGAAAATTCCCTAAACAGTAATCATTTACCAAGGCCATAAAAAATCTGAAGAGCATATCTCTTGTGCTGAAAATGTTCCATACTTAATGGTGATGGTTATACATACAGCTTTATGAATATAGGTAAAACCACTGGCTTGTATACTTTAAGAGTGAATTTTATGTTATGGAATTACAGATATATAGATGCCTAATATACTAAATGTCTCCGTTCGAACAGTCGCTGTGACACACACCGACCACCGGGGGCAGATTCTCCAACCAGTAGGTTAGCTTGCTGCTGGGGTCCAGCCAATCTGGGACTGGACAAGATGGGCCGGACACACTCTGGAGCCCTCCTGTGGTCCCTCCCTGGCCCTGGCCTGACCTGCACCCTCTTGCAATCCAGGATTCCTAAGGGGATGTTAGAGAGCCAGTTTTGGCCCAATTCCCACAGGCCAGGCCTATGGACCCCCCCGGTGTATGAATCTGTATCTCAAAAAAAAAAAAAAAAAGTGAAGAATACTTGCCAAATATTTGGTTTTAAAAGTAATGTAACTCTTCAACAATAAAGAATAATTTTTTTTAAGCAATGTAACTTCTAGTGAACTTGCCAGTTTTGAAGTAATATAACTATATTGATGCCTTTGAGTTTGTCCTCTTAGCACATATTTGAGTGCCCATTATATGGATTGTGATTTTTAAAAATTAAAAGTAAAGTTTATTACCTATATGTAGAAGAAAGCTAAACATTTTTTTTGAAAGCTAAACATTTTGATCTAAAATTAGAGTAATATAGTTCTCTAACTATAAATGTTACTTTTTAAAAAACTTTTAAATGTTGAAACATGAAGTATTTATCAAACTTCAAGTCTCTACAAATCCCTGTATAAAATGTTTTGTTGCATAGTTGGTATGTCACCCACAAGCCAGAATAATAAAGAAAATGTTGAATTTAAATATTTCTGAATATCAAATCCCAGTTCCTAAGGAGTTTGGGATCAAAATATAGTTAATATAATACTTAGTTTTAGGCATATAACATAGTGATTTTATATCTACCTACCTAGGGTGTCCCAAAAAACATGTAATACACACCCTAACAGCTGATAGCTCAGTTGATGTTTTTATTTCCACCAAACTAAGCTTTGAACAAAGGAAATTTATCCACTAGACTTTTTTTTTTTTTTTAAGATATATATTTTATTGCTTTTTTACAGAGAGGGAGAGAGAGTTAGAAACATATATGAGAGAGAATCATCGATCAGCTGCCTCTTACACACCTCCCACTGGGGATGTGCCCACAGTCAAGGTACATGCCCTTGACTGGAATCGAACCCGGGACCCTTCAGTCCACAGGCCGATGCTCTATCCACTGAGCTAAACTGGTTTCGGCCCACTAGACTTTTTTATTGGGATACATAAAAGACAAAGTTTATGGTACTAAACTGGCAAAAGTCTGAATTGAGGGCGCACAAATACCTAACAAAATGATTACACACACACACACACACACACACACACAGGTCAGATGCACAAAATACATGCACAGTGGGGTGGGAGGGTGTTCCTCAGCCCAGCCTGCGCCCTCTTCAATCTGAGACCCTTCAAGGGATGTCCAAATGCCCGTTTAAACTCGGACATCCCTCTCACAATCCAGGACTCCTACTTCCAACCACTCGCCTGCCTTCCTGATTGCCCCTAACTGCTTCTGCTTTCCAGCTTGATAACCCCCTAACCACTCCCCTGCCACCTTGATCTACACCAAACTGCCAGCCTGGTCGTCCTAACTGCTCTCCCCTGCAGGCCTGGTAACCCCTAATTGCCCTCACCTGCTGGCCTGGTAACCCCTAATTGCCCTCCCTTGCCAGCCTGGTCATTCCTAGCTGCCCTCCTCTGCCGGGCTGGTCACCCCCAATTTCCCTCCCCTGCAGGCCTGGTTGCCCCTAGCTCTCCTCCCCTGCAAGCTTGGTCCCTCCCAACTGCCCTCTCCTGCTATCCTGGTCGCCCACAACTGCCCTTCCTGCCAGACATCTTGTGTCCACATGGAGTGGCCATCTTTGACCACATGGGGGCAGCAGCTTGTGTGTGTGATAGTCAATTTACATGTTATACTTTTATTAGATAGGGTGTGTGTGTGTGTGTATTCCTATTTAATAAATGGAGAATATGCTAATTGACTCTCACATGGTCGCAAAGATGGCAGTGCTCATAGCCAATAAGGGAATATACTAATTGACTGCTGCACACTCAAAGATAGTAGCACCCATAGCCACAAGATGGCAGTGTGCAGTCCCCTCAGCCCTGCTGGGGTGGCAGGCACACAGCAAGGCCAGGCCCGCCTCTTGGTTGCCCCTAGCTGCCCTCCATGTAGACCTGGTCACCCTTACTACCCCTCCCTGCTTGCCTGGTTGTCCCCAATTACCTTCCCCTGCAGGCCTGGTCACCCCCAACTGCCCTCCTCTGCTAGCCCGGTCACCACTTACTGCCCTCCCCTTCAGTCCTGATCGCCCACAATTGCCCTCCCCTGCTAGCCATAACATGGCAGCCATCTTGTATCCACATGGGGGTGGCCATCTTGTGTGTTGGAGTGATGGTCAATTTGCAAGTTACCTTTTTATTATATAGAATGTGTATGTATATACACCTTGCAGAGTGATCATGATGAATCTAGTAAGCATCTGTCTCTGTACAAAGTTATTGTGATATTGACTATATTCCCTGTGCTATAGATTATATCCTAGTGATACCTTTATAACTGGAAGCTTATAAGGTTACTCTGTTGTTTAACCTTTTAAGAACATGTTTTCCTGTTTATTAGCAATTAATTTTAAAAAAACTCGTTAAGTGTTTGGTTTGATTGATGACTAATATGAAAGTATTTTAGCCATAACTTTTGTAGGTCCATTGAATTCCTCAATATGATACTACACTATAAAGTTATTATTCCAAGAGAAGTTAATTTCTGCTTTGGAAAACTTGAGTCAACTTATTCATAATTTGGGAGATTTCCTTCCTTGACATGTTATTCTAATGTCTACTAGAAAGAAATACTGCACAACTGTGAGATTTAAAAAAAACAAAAAACAAAACTATGTTGAAACAATTTTTACTACATATTCTACATACATTAGTATAAACTTTACCAAATTTATATGAAACCGTAAGTACTACAATAGTAATAGAAAACTAATATTAATTATAGATAAATATGAGTTGATATAAAACGATCTTGGTTAATAAGTTGTCTCACCAGTATTAGGTGTGTCTTAACTATTTTCCTTCTATAATATTAATATATTTTCTTTTTTTTAAAGCTTGCAAACACAGAAGAATACATAGATGGAGCCTTGTCTGGACACCTGGGTGAAGTTTTAATAAGGTAACAAAACAGTAGTAGTTTATGTAAGGAATTACTTGGTGAACATTAGAAATAACCTGTTTTAAAAAACTAATTTAGTGCCTCAGTTTCAGAATTACTTTTTAAAATAGCTATTAATTTACCATATTATTCTACAACTAGACTTCTAGAGTATGAAATTGTTAAACTAGTCAAAGATTTAAGTATTTTGGAGCTATTCGTCCTTAAGATTTTTCTGGTACTGATATTAAACTTTCTATTTTAAGCTGTAACTTTTTTTAGTGGTTTTAATTAAAAGTTTGATTTTTTAATTTTAGTTGGGTCTGGCTGCTGCTAGGATATTTAGTTATACTCATTTTCTAGAACTAACTTTACACCATCAAATTCTAGTCATTCCCTTTGGAAGAGCATAAAGATATAATTTTATAACAATCACATGGTGAGAAAATAAGTGCCATTTGTTTTGTAAAAAATCAGTGGTAAAATTTTAAAAAGAGAAAGGAAAAAATGCTACGTTATAAATTTAGCATTCAGTATTTTTGTAATGAAAAATATCTCGTAATTGTAAATCAGATATTACATGGTTTCCAGTTGGAACAACAAAATGGACTGTGTTTCTGTTTACAGATGTAATAATGTCCTTTATATCAGGGGTGTTGAAGAAGAGGAAGAAGATGGAGAAATGAGAGAATAGCATCTTTTGTTGGAAATTTTTTTTTTATATATATTTCTAGACAATAAAAATTTGTTTTTTCAACTTGACTTGTGAACTATTCATTTTAAATATATTCAGACATTTACATGCAAAACTCAATGTTGAAAAATTATTTACAGAAGAAAGGCTTTAAAGGCTACTCAGTTTCATTCAAGTTGGTTTTCTTTCGTAAGTCCAGTGTTGTTATTTTTTTCTAAAAGGGAGAATTACTTATATTTTTTATAAATGTTTATGAAGGTGAATTTCAGCCCTTTTCTTGTAATTATATATTAACTGAGACCTTTCAAATGCAATTGCTTCTTTTAAAGTTTTTTTGAGCCATTTTTTACATCTATACAGTGAACTATTTTCTTAGCGTTAATATATATTATTTTACTTAGTAATAGATAAATAACAGTGTACACTTAAACAGTATACACATATAGCTAAAATGAAACATCAATTAAAATGAAAATGATTGTGGATATACAGCACAACAGAAATTGTGAACTGACATTTAGGTTGAAGATAGGTTTGTCCATTTAAGAGGATTAATTTTCTGAACAGTACTTAATACGAATTAAAAACCAGTCACAATTATGTTCTGAGACATAACCTCAAAGTCTTATTTTGTCAGAGGATGCCACTATTGCAGTTTAATGATCATTAATCGGATAGTTACATCAATAAAATAACTTCGGATGTGTATCCCCAACTCAGACAAATCAAAGTATAGGTGTATAATATTTAGAATAATACGTAGGCAATAGATAATAAAAAGCCTTCCACAAAAGAAAGTAACTCCCCATTTCCAATCCTATAACCTTTGGGACAGGGGCATGTCTTCATCACATTGATTAGGCAAGCATATGGGGGAGAATATTTTGGTTACTGTAAACCAGAATCTTTAAAATATGCTTAAAACACTTTGGCCTTACTGCTTTCTAATTCAAGTGAAAAAATACTCTTCTTCTATTGATTTTGCTCTTGTATCTCTGACTAAACGTAGTTGACGTTTGTTACCAGTTATAGGTTTTGAACGACAGACAAGTCTTCTTCCCAGCTGAAATGAAAGAAATAATAATATTCTTTAGAATAATCTTTTTCTGTTAAAGTATAAGTAAAATACTAATATTAACTTGGTTTTCCAAGGAATAATACAGCTTAATGTGGTAAATAGTCAATTACATAGGGATTGATTTTAAACATTAGTAATCCTGATGGGTCTTGGAGGTGTTCCCACCAGGATAGGCTTAGGGAAATCCTTAGTTTCACACCTATTCATTTTCTCTGGGGCCTACACTCAATTATATCATCTTTAGTCTTTCCTCTGTAAACATTTTTGTTTTGCTTTGACAGCTGAATTTTTATCAAATGGATAACAAAACTATGATATAATATTGGACTTGAGATTTGATGGGGCATCTCCATTGTGTCTCAAAAGGGGCACTATCGCCGAAACCTATTTGGCTCAGTGGATAGAGTGTCGGCCTGGGAACTGAAAGGTCCCAGGTTCAATTCCAGCCAAGGGCATGTACCTTGGTTGTGGGCACATCCCCAGTAGTGGGTGTGCAAGAGGCAGCTGATTGATGGTTCTCTCGATGTTTCTAATTCTATCCCTCTCTCTTTCTCTGTAAATCAATAAAATGTATTTAAAGGGGGGGAGGAGCCACTATCCCTATGTGAGACTGGCCCTTGCATTGCAGAATGTTTGACATTCCAGGCCCCAGTGAACTAAATAATAGTAGAGTTCCTCCCCATTATTATAGCAACAAAAATGCTCTTAGAGCAGTGATTCTCAACCTTTCTAATGCCGCGACCCTTTAATACAGTTCCTCATGTTGTGACCCCCAACCATAAGGGTCACTGCTGCTGTAGAGCCTAAGACCATCGGAAAACTACAGATATTTACATTACGATTCATTAACAGTAGCAAAATTACAGTTACGAAGTAGCAATGAAAATAATTTTATGGTTGGGGGTCACCACAATATGAGGAACTGTATTAACGGGTCATTGCATTAGAATGGTTGCAAAAATAAAAACAAAACCATCTGCCAAAACCCACATTATCGATAAAACAAATCAATGCCATTATAAACGGCATTTTATCAGTACTGGTTGAGCAATTGTTATGAATGTACCACAGACATACAAGATGTAAAAAAAAAATTGCCTGTCCAGTTTGGCTCAATGATTAGAGCGTTGGCCACAGACCAAAGAGTCCTGGATTTGATTCTCAGCCAAGGGCATGAGAACCACTGCCTTAGGGGAACAGAACCCCTGAATTCCTTCCTAAAATCGGATTTTTTTTACTATTGGTGATCTCCTTTGGTTACTTTTGTTATTAATACTATCAGAAAATTTCCATTGTGAAGTATCTCAACTAGGTAAGAACTTCTATCACAGGTTTTCATACATTGTCTATTTATCAGATCACCATTTTTATTTTGTTTTCCAGTTTTAGTTTTCATTCTCATTTTTAGTCTGTTAATAAACATTTGTTGAGTATCCACTGTGTGCTAGGCAGTGGAGATACAGAGAGGTCATAAAATTCATTCATGGTCTAGAAGAAAGGATATATTTATAAATAATTTCAATTTTGTGGGTTTAGTGGAGTGTACACATACATGTGGGAGAATAATGAGTGGTTAATTCTCTTTGGGGAGGAAGAGGACAAGTCAAGTGTTCATAGAACACCTGAACTAGAGGGGTACAGACTCTTTAAATGCTTATTTAAATAAAATAAGGTAATCATAACCTTTTGATACACATATTTATAATAACCATACAATCACCATACATCCCAACTGCCCTCTCCTGCTGATCTGGTTGCCCCTAACTGACCTCCCCTACAGGCTGATTGCTCCCAATTGCCCTCCCCTGGCAGCCTAGTCCCCCCCTAACTGCCCTCCCTTGCAGGCCTGGTCCCTCCCAACTACCCTCCCCTGCTAGTCATCTTGTGGCAGCCACCTTGTGTCCGATTGCTCCCAAATGCCCTCCCTTGCAGGCCTGGTCCCTCCCAACTACCCTCCCCTGCTAGTCATCTTGTGGCAGCCACCTTGTGTCCACATGGGGGCAGCTATCTGACCACATGGGATCAGCCAACTTGTGTGTTGGAGTGATGGTCAATTTGCATATTACTCTTAGCTAGGATTCTCTGGGTTCACTATTTCCATTGTTAAGTGGAAGAAACAAGGTTCTGCCGAAACCGGTTTGGCTCAGTGGATAGAGCATCTGCCTGAGGACTGAAAGGTCCTGGGTTCGATTCCGGTCAAGGGCATGTGCCTTGGTTGTGGGCACATCTCCAGTAGGGGGTGTGCAAGAGGCAGCTGATGGATGTTTCTCTCTCATTGATGTTTCTAACTATCCCTCTCCCTTCCTCTCTGTAAAAAATCAATCAAATATATTAAAAAAAAAGAAACAAGGTTCTCAGCTATCATTAAGAAGAATTGACACAAATACATAGGATATTTCAAGAAGGATGCAGATGAAACTGTTTGCAATGCTTATCTCTGAGGTAGGAGGAACTAAGGATGACAACTTTCACTGAATACTCTTGTATTTTTTGAACTTTGAATCATATGTCTGTACTACCTATTCAAAAAATTAGTTTTTAAATTTTTCTGGTTTCATATACCTGGAAGGAAAGAAAGAGAGGAAGGGGCAGGATTCTTTTACTAAAAAGTAGGCCTAATTTGACTTATTCTAAAAGTAACAAGGAACCAGAGAGAGAGCAATTGAAGCTGAGCATGAAAGACTACTGAAGTTTAACCTGGATAAATTCGGTGAATTAGATATTTTGTTTTTATACCCAGAAGCACTCACACTTCGATGCGGCTGGACCTATTAATAGCAAAACACAAACCTTTTTCTTTGGTTGTGCTACTGCTCTTTCCAGAGCAGCTCTTAGCCTTTCTTCTTGGTGTTTCTGTTTTTCTCTCATTTTCTCTTCACGAAACCTGTCAAGAGGGGAAAATGTTCTAAATATTTAAATGACCCATCTGAATATTATTTCCATTAAGGTTAAAGGGAAGTAATAATTCATCTTCACCCATAACCATGGCTTTTGAATATTCAGGTGAAATCTCAATAACACATCTGATTTCTGATGAGATGAGGAGAAATTGCATGCCACTATTTTGGAAGAAGTAAAAATCTATCCCCTCTTGAGTCTAAATAAGCACCTCAATAAAGCCTTCTCATCACTCAATTTCAGCACATCACAGTTAATCTGTACAACGGTCACTTCAATTAACCCAGTTATCCACCCCTCCCTTATTTAAAATATTCAGAAAAGTACACTAGTCACAAGGATGTAGTTAAGTGAATTACCACAAAAGTGCATTTTCCAGTTAATCTTTTTGACTGATATTCTCAAATTAAGACCAACAAATACAATTTGTCTTGTTTTTTTTGTTTTTTTTTTTAGGGCTGTGATGATAAAATTAGATGACCTAGACCAGTAGTTGGCAAACCGCAGCTCCCCATGGCTCGAGAGCGACTTGCGGCTCTTTGGCTCCTTGAGTGTGGCTCTTCCTCAAAATACCATGGCCTGGGAGAGTCTATTTTGAAGAAGTGGCAGTTAGAAGAAGTTTAAGTTTAAAAAATGTAGCCCTCAAAAGAAATTTCAATCATCGTACTGTTAATTGGCTCTGTTGACTAAGGAGTTTGCCGACTACTGACCTAAGACAATCTTTATACTCCAATGCCTAATGCAGAATAGGCACTCAATAAGCGAGAGCTATTTTATGGAAACATTTAATTTTAAGAGTTAATATTTATTAAATATTTTTATGCCAGATCAGATATTATGTTAAGTGCCTCCAAACCATAGGGAAAATCAACTAAAATTCTCTTGATAAGAACAATAAACAATTGGAATTAGATTTATGTATCACTACTGAAAATAAGTTGTAATTATCCTTGGATGACTATTTTTGCTGGGGGGGGGGGAAAGATATAAGAGACCCTAGCTGTTTTGGCTCAATGGATAGAGCATTGGCCTGCAGAGTGAAGGGCCCCAGGTTCGATTCTAGTCAAGGGCACATGTCCAGGTTGTGGGCTA